TTAGATAATACATATACATGTGTGTATCATTAATCCTTTTGCTGAGTAGCTTGGATTTATCCCACGGCTACCAAAAAAAGGTTCCGTCTACTGCAACATGAGGGAATATCCCCCTATACTTGAAACAATTGCCAAACGTGTGCCATTTGTGTTGTACACTATGAAACCTGGATGTTTATATGCCTCATTAGTCATTACAAAATTGTCAACTTTGCAGGAACACATATGGAATCTATATAAATACAGCTTCTTTATATCTTGGATATTGTTATCTAAATAATTTGTTTTATATTTTGTAATGATTTTGGCCTCTTATTGACCTAGTTTTGTCTATATTTATGCCATTTACTGAAGAACACTTAATTTTCCTCAATGTTTTGTTAAAATCATTATTCACTATCCAATACAGTTTTCAAGGAATGTTATTGTCAGATATAGAAAATACAGCTTCTTTCAATGTTGAAAAATAATAGAAAGGGTTAAATTCATAATTTTATTTTTTTAGTGAATAATTGACAATTTCTAGTAATCAGCCTGAAAATTAATTGTGCAGTGAAAAGTTTAAACAATACAGTACATAATGTTATTAAGTAAAATATTATTTGTAACAAAATAAGTTAATGGAAATTCTTTTCTGACATAATTTTTTAATCATGAAATTGTGTAAACTGGGTAAATATATGATGCTTTCAACTGACTTTTTGATGGATACAACTCTTTTTCACCATCTTTTGGAAGGAGAATTAGATGTTAGTATTTTTTTAAGCCATTAGTTGTCCATTCCAATCCACCCTTCATTCTAAATGAACATCAAACGTTTTTTTTTATATAACTTTATACTTTTTTCTTTACCCTAACAATAACTGTAGCAAAATCATTAATGTAGAATGAAGTGAAAAGTTGAGAAGTATGAAGTAAAAATCAGTTTTTGTTTTTTCTAGAATGACTGCAGATGTTACAATTATTTATACTAACAGTCTCAGCTTATCACCTTTTCACAACTGCATCTACATCTTGGTACAGTTAATACCAGATAAGATCTGTGTTTGACCAGATAACAGATTTAGGTTACTATTATTTTAACATATTCATAAGTGTAGTATTCATAATCCAAAATTATTTTAAGCTTTATAACCAGTAAGATTTAAGGAAATTAACTGTGAATAAAGTTGGAATAGATTATGACATACACAATATATAATTACAGTTATTTGCTAATTAGATCCACTAATCTGACCAATGTACAAATCATTAGTATACATAGATACAAAAATACCAAAATTTGTAAAAAAAAAAAAAAATAAGCAGTAGCTGTTTACAGTTGTGGAATGTTCATACAATTTTCTTAAAGAATAAGGGAACTTTGGAAACCAACTTCTTCACATTAGTTGTTTAACTTTTAATTAGTTTGACATTAGAGATAAATGACTTTCAGTACAATAGATTCAACAGCAGTAAGATATAGAAAGTAAAGACTTGTATAAAAAAATTAATTATAAACAGTGGAATGTACAACAATTCATAGTATTAAAAGATAAGAGGGACTAGTAATACCACGGTATACTATTTGTATAATGAAATGTCATATACAGTATCTTTTGAAAGGTGGCATAACAAAGATAGTTTATTTCTTTATTGGATTAAGAAATTAAAAAAAAAAGTGTAGTCATTTGAAAAAGTATGGTATTGTATAAAATTTCCAATTCCACATTTAAATTTGCCAGAGAATTAAATAAACTTGGTGTTCAAAATATGGTGGGAATTTTTTTGTGGAGAATATGGTAATTTTTAAGATGTCTTTGAAATTTTGATATATAGGACAAATTTTACTTTAATGAACTATGAGTATTAAACTTTGGAATATTAATATATGTTAGAAAAATAAAATTTATACATTTGAAGTTTTAAGTGTCTGTTTTATTTAAAAAAATTTGAATATTTTACAGGCAGTACTAATTCTAAGTAATATGCATTCTTTATAGTGAAAAACAAAAGCATCTTTCCAGGATAAATGGTGTATAAATAAGTTTAGTAGTGTCAAAGAAATCTAGAAAGTTTGGTGGAATAATATTGTCAATATAATTAGCATGTAAAGCATTATTATAATCTGTCTTACTAAATTTTAACAATGAAAATTGACATTAAATACAGATCAGCAGCTTAAGAAACATTATGGTCACTAAACCAAAGCATTGATTTATCAGAATTGTTTAAAAATCAGTGGATATTGCTGATGAAAATTTTTTATATATTGCCTGAAAAATATTTAGTTTTTCTTTATACTGTGTAGTTACAGAAGATAATCAACAAATTAGCTGTTTCTTTCTTTGATAATTTATCAGTTAGAACTGATAAATCATTAGTAGTTGCTTTTTCTGGCACTGGCTATGAATCTGTATTTTTGTATTAAGGGAATCCAGAATAATGTAGATATTACATTATTACACTTTATTAAGGATATCAAAATTTGGTATCACTTTAATATATTCCTGTATGATACTGCATTGGTTTTAGTGTGTGTCTATGTTACAGTGCTTGAGAGTATTGGGATTTGTAAAACATTTTACAAATGAAAACCGTGTTTGAAGCTTTATTGGTAGGGATGATAACACTATTGTTTTAAGTTTCTAAATATTTAGGATTTTTTTACAATAGGGTTACTTCATTTGATTCATGTATTTTTGTTGGTTGTATTAGTATTTCTTAAATTTTACTAAAATCCTGTACTTTAACCTAAATTTTTTACTCACCTTTATATGTTACATCAGACACCTTAATTAATCATACAGGTAAGCACTGAGATTATCTTGCTGAGTTCATTTCCCTTTGTTTTTTGGTGAAAAGTCATTTAAAGATTAATCTTTTACAATATTCCTGCTCTCTGCTATGTGTGCTATATGTTATTAACCATATTAATTCTAGTTTCTTTGTCTTTCTTCATATTTAACTTTATTTTGCTACATTGTGCTTGTAGTGAGGTTTATCCATCTCCTTATATAATATGCTGAGTTACTACCCACGCTTCTAATGTAATTAAAGGATAACAAGGGACCTATTGATCCATATAGCAAACTAAATTTGAAAATTAAAACACTCAAAGCCAGACCTTATCATACAAATATTTATAAAGCCTTCCCTTAAAACTCTCTTAAACTATATATATATTTGAATGCAACCCATTCCAAAGGCTAACCACCCTATTAGAAAAATATAGCTGTCTTAACTGAAATCCTTCCTATGCTGCCAGAATTCATACTTGTGTTCCTTAGTTCTACCATTCTCACCATTAAATATGAAAAAAAAATAGATGATGCATTAATTCCCTTAAGTCTTAAACACCTCAGTTAGATCATCTGTTTGATGTATCCTATTTAAAGCTATGGCTATTGTAAATCAAGTTGTTTCATGTTCTAAGAATTTAGACCTTCTGAAAGAGGTGTTTCTTTTTCACAATAATGTCTCACATGTGTGATTGTTATTTCAGAATCATTAATGCCTAAGAAGCCTTACTCTAAGATCAGCATTCCCTCTAGGCTGCATCGCTGCACAACCACCAATCAAGTGCCATGCATTTAATTATTTCAGACACGCACATCCTCAGTAATGGTGAGGAGCCTCAACACATTGATAGCATTAATAACCATGGAAGTCAATAGACCTAAAGCTCAAATAACTAACTGGTAGCATTGCAAAGCAGCCTAATGATCCAGTAGGGTCGATGGTCTAAAAATACCGCTACCCTTTAAAAACCTTGTAGCACATCCACACATTGCCTTGATACTGGTGCACATGAAAAAATTCATTCCACATACGAATTGAAAAAATTAGAGGGAATATTGTCTAAGATTCCTTCAGTATGCTATTCCATTTCTTGATTTACATACAAAAGAATGATATATTCTATACTGATTTCTCTTCTATATTTATCACTTGTTGATATGATAATTTGTATTTACTACATAATTGATTTGATACTGTGTATTTATCATCTGTAATGATTCTTTGTGTAATTACTTCAAAACTAAATATTATGTATTTTGTTTATTAGTTATTGGTATAATAATAATATGTAGTTAATATCATAACTAGTTGGGAACCCTGTTTTTCTGTATGTAAAACTGAAATTAGATGGATAACTTGCTTGCGTTTTGATGTCCAAATAACATTATTTTTAGGTAATAACATGCAGCTTTGTTTGAGTAATTTTTCCTAGTACAGATTGTTGTGACATTTAACTTTCACAGTACATTTCCCAAAACTATTAAGAACGTTACCAGTTACATCAATTTTTTTTCTGCCAGCTTATACTAAAACCTTTAATTTTTGTACCTTATAGTGAAACTGAACCTGCAGTGGCCAGAATGAAATTATTTTGTTACGTGGTGGTTTATTTTTTCTTGGGTAAATAATTCAGGAATATTTTTCTAGAAAATAACTTTCCTTCACCGAGTTTAAGTGGCATTTTGTAGTATTAACAAGTAGGACTTTTAAGTTGGATAATAACCTATGTATATTGATATAACAGGTTGTATAGTCATGCTCTTTTTTTACATGTGATCAACAAATGCTTTACACTTACCTTTTATGAAAGAGACAATTATAGATGCATAGAACTTTATATTTCATTTAGTAAACTATATCTTATCAATTTCACTTGCTGGTAAGCATTCATATTTAGAAATGTGAAATATTTTTAGTATAATGTCAGTAATATATTTTTTTTCTTGGAGCTTCATTTTTTTTTGTTTGATCAGCAAAGTTTTTTAAGACATTGAGATGCTCACAATACACACACAGTTGAATGTCCAGAAATAAAATATATATGATATTGTGACATGGGTTTCTGTTTACAAAATTAGGAACATTAGTAAATACTGAACCATTTACAATATATGTGACGTATACTGCTTTTTGGGACTTTCCGTCGATTCTTTTAATTTGTCTTGCTATACAAGACAGTGATCCATCCTAAGTTAAGTTCTTTCTCTCTCTTCCTCAAGGACACTAGGTTTAGAAGATGGAAAGCAAGAGAGATTGATGAAGAATATTTTTTAATCATACAAGGCAAGAAGCAATTCAGAAAATTCACCTGTGTCTTTGAGACAACTTTTCTTTGAAAACAAAGGTAAACAAAAACTTGGTTATTTACACAGACATGTCTGGAATCCTGTAGAATGGCTTAAGTCAAAAATTACCATCTCAGTTTGTGGTTTATACATACATAATACACTACTACATAATATGGGCAGTAAGTTAACTAACCACACTAAATGGGTAATTCGTCAGTGTTATTGCCTGTAAAAAAAAAAAGAACTTTATAAGGGATATCATTAAAATAATGCAAAGTAGTTACATTTATAATGTTGGGATTCTACAAGTTCTCTCAAGAATTAACAAACATTCACCTGCTTTCAAACTGTGTAATACTGTCAGTTGAAGCACTCAGAAAACACAATCAATTTCATTTTACAGTATGTGCTGTGAAAAATAAAGTTATCAAAAATATACTTGTATTTTGCTACCTTTGGAATTCTTGTATTTTTAAAGTGGAAATATCAGTGTAGTACCTGAATTAGACAAAAAAAAGGATTTATTACTTTTGAAGAAAACATTTTAGAAGTTGAAAGATCGAGCTTAAGAGGGAAAAACAAGTGACAGTAACATGCATGTATACATAAAATTTCATCATGGAGTTGAAGAATATGACCAGTATTGAAAAGGAGAGTCAACAGAACTTCAGAGCTAATTTTACATTTGAGTCTAGAGCTATTTGTGGTGCTAATATTATACCTAGAGAGTAGCATGTCGGGCCCATCCTTTTAGGTGTTTAAATTTTAACTTGCAAATGCAACTTTTGAGAGACAATGAATTACAAGGTTCTGCAGTTTGTTTAGTAAATGTAGATTAGAAGTTTGCATATTTTTAGGTGGTTGCCTCCAACAAGGATCACATATACACACTGTTCTTTTCAAATATTATCAGTATAAGGAAAAATTATAAGATCTTGATTGAATAAAAAGTTTTAGGGTAAACACTTCTCAGTTACTTGACTCCAATGCAGGGTAATGTAAACTATGAATCTATGGTTTTTCTTTTTTTTTATTGTTACAGACACATGGTACATGAAATAATAGCTGTTTATTTTCTTGTTCTTCAGCCTTTTTTTTTATGGCCATCTTTGTCAATCTGTATTAAAAACAAGTAAACCTAAAAATATTAAGCATTATAAAGAGCTTGGCAGTACATCCAAAATAATTAGATTTTAGCTTGTAAATGTATGGGAAGTTTTAATTCAGGTTGGAACTAATGGCTCTTTTCATAACTAATATTTATCTAGACCTATTTAAAAAATAATACAAGAGATTTGTGACTGATGTCATAAATGTGAGCTTCAGCATTTTCTGATTGAACGGTAACTAACCAAATGAAAATTTCATTACATACATTGATTACATAATTAGGTCACTGTTTTTCTGGTTAGACAGAGTGTTTTAAAAATCCATAATAAATAGTGGAACATCTTATAACATGTTACTAATACTTGTTGTATATTGGATTCTACATAGCTTCAAATTCCATAAAACATTATATAAGTCACATAAAAATATTATAGTTCATGAAATTTAAAAATTAAATAAAGGATTTTTCAAAAAGTTACCTTTTCATACAAGATGATGATTAGTACACCTAAAATTGATTTTTCATTGTTGCTTTTTCATTTCCTGTATTCAATATTTGTCCTTGCATACGTTCACGCACTTCATATCGACAAGAAACCATTTCAACTCACCATGGTTGCACAAAAGAGTTGATGCTGAAAAAATGTATAAAACAAAATATACACTTTGTAAGATTCTAAATTAGTTTTCTCCCATTTTAAAGTTCCTGTCTGAAGGTAGTCAAAAATAATAAATTTTCTTTTCTTACACATATTGGTCAAATACAGTACGTAGCAAATAATTATCCCACAAAGCAAACAAAGTATCTTCTTTTGTTTTATGTTTTTCATTATAGCAAGAAACTTGTAATCATCATTGTAAAAACCATAATTAACACTGACAGTCTCTGTCAGTGCTGTAGCACGTCGTTGAACTTAGAGATCCAAGCAACATTAAGTTGATTTTGTATTTATTTTTCATTTACAAAAAAAATTAAAGTTTTTGAGTAAATATATTTCTCGAAGTTTCTAAAAAACATGAAAGCTAGTATACATGCACTATAATAACAAGTATTTGTTGATACACTGTGCTATACATTTACTCCAAATATATATGGAACAAGTAATTAAGGTGAATAATTTAATACATTATCAATTTATCCCAATTGGGATAACATGAGTGCAGTTTATATACTGTGTTATTTATATAAGAACATGAAACCAAAAAAAAAACTTCTGTAATTAGCTTATTTATTAATATTGAAGTTACTGCAAGTCTTTATTAATGACTTGCAAACTTTGAATACCCATAATAGTTGAAAATTCCATGATAATCATATACTATGTGTTCAGTTTTTGCCACTATAGCTACATTTTTTTAATACCCCTAAAACGGATTTACTACCAGGTCTAGGGAATGTATGCTGCACCATTAAACAAAAATTTTTAACAGTTGTATAACTGAGTTGGTTTCATCTTGTACTATGAAAATTGTACTTCTCATCTTATAACTCGTTTCTGAATAACGAAGAAAGAAAGCTAAAATTATTTTTAAATGTTTCACTCCTCTTTTTAACTTTTCCCAAGCTTTCAGTTTTTATATATTTTTTCTAAATATTAAACTTGCTTAGCTTCTTTCTCTCTCTCTCTCTCCATTGTCATTTTTAGTGTTATTAAATATGAGTGACCAAAAATATGGAACTGCTTGTAGTATTACAACTCAACTATATAAAAAAGAAAGAAATTGATTTGCAGAAAAGAGTTGGCCTTTGAAAGAAAGTTAGAAAATAACAACCAAACAAGTAATTAAACAAAATTAATATCTGAAAATGTTAGACTTACACTATTTGAAATTAAATTTAAACAGTACTTGCTTGTCGGGGTATTTACAGAGGAACTTCAGTGTTTCAGAAGAAAATACATACACCACCAAATTGTATGTGAAATGAAATATAAGTAGGAAGGTTTGCTCATCAGTAAATTACAAAAAAAAAAGCATTGAAACTAATGAGAAGAAAAGGAAAATCTTATCTGAACACAACAGTGTGATAAACATAAAACAAATGAAGATACAAAAAATAAAAACCTATTTTTATTAGCCATATCTATGTAGAAAAATCCAGGATGCCAGTCAATTAATAAACGTTTCTAACTGGAATACTAAAAACATCAACTCTTAAAGCATTTATGTGCATGAGTCCTACTCCCCAATCCTTGTCTAAATCAAAAAGGCTGTGTTATAAAAGAAAAATTAAATAGATAATATTTATATCTGTGTATAAACTGTTTGTGTAAGTACCATACACACTCAGTGATGTATTAACAAAAGCAGTTTATGAAAACATAGATATAACTTAGAATTATGTGACATATCAGTCCACTTAGCCATTTCTTTTCAGATGAAGAAATACGAATTTTTTTGTTTGGATCAAGTAATATAGCACTTGAAAAAGAAATACCGGTATATGTATGATAATACAGTATTCTGGTACAATGCAAAATAATACACATTTGTAAATGTTACACACTTCAAACATATAATTGCTTTTATTTTGTGATTTTCTATATTTTATTTCTCATCTGATTAGTCAGTTTTGAATAATGCAAGTTAAAGTTTTAAATACTTCACTGGCCTTTTAAGTATCCTTTTATTTAATGTTAAATTAACTTAATCTCTCTTTCATGTCTTTTGTTTATCTTTAATAAGCAGAAGGTTTTGTGTTTCTTATTAACATTTTCTGATCGATAATGAACTATCTTAGAAACCGTACTAAAACATAATATTACTTAATAAAATGAAAGAAGTCAGACGATATGTCCAAGAGAAGCTGTGGAACTACGTTATACTTCTGAATAATTTTTGATATGATCATAAATGAAGGAGAACTAATATGTTATCTAATGTTGGAAACTGAGGATTAATACCCTCCATACCATATGATAATAATTAGATCTTGGGCAAAGTTTTACTGCTTGTTATACATGAAAAAGCAATGTTAAGATGTGTATATAACAAAACACCCTACACAACAAATATGAGCGTATGTCATTTTTATTGGTTAGCGAGTAAGACTGTCATTGCAAGTCTTTTAAAAAGTAATTACTACAACAGCAGTCCACTGTTATAACTTGCACTCTCAAACCACTTTATGTAATATAATAAAAACATTAAATAGCTATGTGCTATCATGAACATACTTTTTATGATCTTAGCAAATAATTTGTTGACATACAAACTGAAACCAACATTTAACACCCTAAGAATAGTGAAGTATCAGCACTTATTGTATATAATTAGAGCACATAGTGATATTGGATTATGATATATATAAAAGAGCTACACGTATTGTATTATTTGTTTCTTTTAAGAAGCATTTATGACACTGACTGGGTAACCATACAATAATGTTTTGTGTTTTTTTTATTCTTAGTAGAGGAAATAAATTTTTTGAGTGGTTTTATTTAGCTGTATAACTAATTCAATAATATTTAAATACTATAAAAATAAGTTAATTTAGTTGTTTGTTTAGCTTAAGACAACAGGAAGTAGGAAGCAAAATGAAGTTAATTATGAAAAAACTTGTGTTTTGGTCTGCTGTAATACTTTTTGTCACTATTTTTTTCATATCCCCAAATCATTTCTTTATATATTCCAGGAAGGTAAAGATAAGAGTAGCTTATTTTGAATTGTTTTTTATGTACTTCAGCATGAAACTAAAAGACAAGAATAGAAAATATGGTTGAATACAAGATTTATTTATGACATAAAAGACAATATATATACAAAATATGAATGATGACTTGACTGAAAGGAACTTATTGTGCTGTTTAATGAAGCATTTGTTGTGTTCCTCATCAATGTAACTCATGGCCAGGACTTTGAAACTTACTTGACGAAAAGTAGCTTTTGTATTAATTAAGTTTGAAATAAATCCCCTTACGTTGAGAAATATCTACCCTTAGATGGC